AAAAAAAGCCAAATCAGCCTTGAAATATATAAAACAGGTGTCAGCTTCAGCAAAAATGATACGAAACCATGCAGACCTCAAATTGATCACGATTTATTAGCGGGAGGTTTTGTGCCAAGTACGAACTGTGAGCACCAAATTGTTTATGCTAATTTATGTGGGTAAGCAACTCAAAACAGACCCCCCGACAATTAATATGGCTCTTGTTCGTCGATCTTAAAACTCCAAATCTCTCAGTATTCAGCTTTTTTTGAACTAATTGAGTGAGCTTGTTCTACAAGGTCTGTCAAAAACTGAAATGTCTTAAACGTTGAATTTACAAATGCTTACTGCAAAAGGAAGCGTGAATATTAAATGTGAAAAAATTGCCAAGTGTTTCAGTCCCCGTAAAATTCCCAGGAATTTTCGATAATTAAATTCCCACTTTTATTTAAGTGTGACTCTGTGAAAGGAAATAAAAACATTTTCAGCTGTGAGTGTTTTGGCTTTGCCAGATTTCACCAGACAGTTGATTTAGTTAGGGCAATATGTTTTTAATACTTTAGCCTGAAATTGCAGTTTCCTTTCCTTTGACAGACCAAGCTATGTTTATTGACATTTTCTTGTCGAATTGTAAAGAGGCAGCTTTTAATTTCCATTTCAAAGACAGCGCGCTGAAGGAAAAATATGAATAATGAAAATGCAATTTTCACGAATTATAATTACATGAATGTGTTTTTCAGTAAGCGATAATGATAACAAAGAAGTTATATGTTTTTTCAAATATCTCAAGTTCAAGATGAATAAAATAAGGGTGAAAACTATTAGGACTGGACTACTGGATCATGGATTGCGGAACTTGTGAACCTGCTTGGGTATCTCTCTCCCAAAGAGGTAGAGAGGGCAAAGGCAGCGCTGAAAATTTTAGCCGTCTTCTAGTACTTGTCTCCCTCTGTGTTCCGCGGTTGTCTTTACGTAAAACTCTATCCAGGGTCCATAGAAATTCTGTGTCGCTATCTCCGTTAAAACATCGTACGAATTAACAGCAAAATGAATATCTCATCAACCGAAACAAAGAAGAAGAAGAAAAAAAAGACCTCCATGTGGACCGGTTTAGTAGCTTTCTTTGTACTGTTTCGTCTTCTAACAATAGAGTAAGAAAATACAAACCGTAAACAAACTATCTGTCACACAAAAATCACAACTCATTTTACTTCACATTTGTAAACCCCCCGCCGGGTTTATATGTTCTTTATGTTTTCTTTTCGCTCCTTCGCTGACAAATGGCTCGATTGCACAAGACCTCAGATTTGGGAAAAAAAAACTTTTTAACTCCCGTCTCAGACTTAGAATTCATATGACTCAAACTAGACCAAACAACCTAACTCCCTGACCAAAAAGTGTATATAGTGTGGGAGTTGCGTCGTTCAGGTAAACAAAAAAGGTTACCGGAACTTAACTGATATGCTTTCCCAATTTTGTCGGTAAGCAGCGACATTTTCTAGTCACCAATCAGGAAAGCTGGTGTAATGTTTTCGTGGGGAATCCCAGATCCCAATCCCAGAGCCCACTTGTCTTTTGGTCAGCGCATGACCAAAAGACACGTGGGCTCTGGTAACGAGATTGCCATGTTTTAAACCAAGGCACGCATGCGCCGTGAAACCGGAACTCCTAAAATCTTGGAATCTGGAAATTGATTATTCCAGAGCTCCGTTTCTTGGCGCTGTCCAAAAGAACCGTGGGCTCTGGGAACGAGATTGGCCTGAGCCCGCAAGTAGGGTTGCGCAGAAAGCTGCACAGTACGTTTTCCCGCTCTGAAGTGGCATTATCAAACGCACTGATCGGCGATTGGAATTTCCTTTATCTATACATAATAAGCCGATTAGAAGACGTTACCAGTTTTATTTTGCTCTGTACTAATTTAGCAATAGTGCAACATAAACCATTTACAGCAGTTTTCAATTGAGTGTCAAAATAAATCAGGTGGAAATTACTTTGGTTTTGGTTTTACTACGATTTGAGATTGGCTGAGCAGCCTAATTGGTAAGTAATTGGTTTGGTTTTGGTTTCAAGACCCTCGATTAAAAACCTCTCAATTTACTATGGTATGTGTTTACTCTTTCCTCACGTATACTAAGTTTTATCTTATCCTCTGATACTGAAATGTACCTAATTAAAGGACATATGTTTAGTTTACTATATCTTGCCAATTTCCACTTTCCTTACACTGCACGTTTTTAACACTGCTGTGTTTTTGTGTTCCAATCTTGAAATAGAAAAATAAAACACAAAAAAGATCTCATAAAACAGTATTTTCACTTCATACGCTGAAATTGTTCATAACAAATTGGCATGAGGCAAATTTAACGAATCTGATTTCCGTGTGCAACTTTTTTCTCTCACGCTTTCTTGCAAAATGCTGGCACAAGCGATAGGCTCCAAACGCTTTCAAATTCAGGGCAGCCCAAAAGCACTGTTAGTTCTGAATCCCACAGACTCAGTTCTCTAGTCGAAAAAACCACTTCGTTGCCCTTGCATGTTGAGTAGACCTACACTAGTTAAGGATTAGCTGTACTTTAGTAAAGAGTCAGATGTCTTCTTAACTACTCACTCTGGATTTAATTCTACACATTCTGAACATTAAGTTCAGTTAACTTAACAGGACAATGTGTAGTAGTTTGAGTAGTCCGCAGGTAACATTACTCAAGGTTCAAAGCCAAAAATTAAAATGCATAGTTACATTCGGGAAAGAGATACCAAACCACTAACAGATTCAAAATGCATGTACTCAGCTTAATTTCGACTCCGTCTTTAAGTATAAAGTCACAAGAAACGTGCGGAAACGACATAAATGTCACAAAGAATGTATTTGTGTACGGAAGAAAAATAAATTAAAAAGTTTAAGAAGAATCCACCACAAGTTTGAGTAACAGGCGGACAAAAACTTTGTACCGAGGTTATTTACATTAGGCGGCAAACTTCTGTGCGACTGTTTTACATATCTTCTCAAAAGAAATCATTTCTAACAACACCAAATGTCCAAAACAAATTTTGAAGTCCATATGAAACACTTGAAAGCTCTTGAAGATAAAAATTTACCTGTGTTTGCACAATTTCTCTGAACTTTGAAATAAATTTTCTGGAGTTCCTATGGGAAATTGTTTTTGGTGTTATCTCAGGCAACTGTTTATATCTTTAGCTTTTAGCAAATGCAAAAGGGACTGTAATATACGCATAGTTAATGTGGTACAAGATTTTTGTCCACTAACGACTTCCTCGGATTACGTCTTAAGTTGCATGAGTTAAGCGCGTAACTGAATATTACTCCGGAGGGGGAGGGGGTACTCAGCGAAAAATTGTGTGGGGGTGTGCGGCCCGCTTCCCAAAAACCTCACCCTAGTTATGACCAAAATCTGCGATTTTCAATACCCTATGGCCTGACCCTAAATCAATACCCTGTTTCAGACCTTCTTACACTCAGTTCCCTAGTACAGGCCAATGTTTAAGGCATCGTGAAGGGCTTTTGTTGATTGGCCTTATTCATAAAGATGATAAAGTCGCTTCTTCTAAAAAACATGCCAAACTCAAGACTAGAGTGCAAAAACCATACCCTATTTATGACCAAAATGGCTAAAGGCGATACCCTATTTATGACCAAAACGTCTGAAAAAACCATACCCTTTGGGGCCGCACATATCTATATAGCCCATATAAGGGAGTACTCCTCCGGGCCTTTTCTCCTTCTAAAAAGTGGGTAAAAGTAAATG